CCCTAAATTCTGTGATTCTATGATTGTGCTTTTTCATTGTCTTCCAGTGTTAATTCTCTCCTCCTGCAGCATTATCACCATCTCATTTTGGTTTTGGGGATTGTTTTATTATTTTTACTGCATTAAAACTTAAACTATGGGAGAGCTGATTTTTCAGTTTGCTGCTGCCATGACCTAAGCTGCAGAGTGTGGGCAGTGTGTGGAGAAAAGCACTGCTCAGAGGAGCAGTAGTGAGCTTGGGTGCTGTGTCAGTGTTACTAAATACACGGATAAGCAGTCCACAATCAAATATTTGTACATCTACATAATTGAGAGGTATGCTGATAGTCTTGCCCTTTGTGTTTGCCTTAAGTTTATTGTTGATTGAGGTGTCTTTTTTAATCTTCAGACAGCTGCATGAGACTTCAACTCTTCATGTACAGGGAAAAGTAATCTTTAAGGAAGTATGGCTACCTGTTTTCAGCTCTTGGGTATCCTGCCTAGAATCTAACCCGCATGCCAAAAGCTTTGTGATAGTTTCTGTTACAAACAGTGATAGAAGCTGAGTGGCATGTGAAACTGTTTATGAGCTTGAAGTTTTTTTAGAAATAAGAGTTCTTAAACTCAGATTAATTTTTTGTTTCACTTAACTCCAACAGCAAAAAGTCCTAAGAGAAGATTAAACGGAAAGGTGAATTTCCACATAACTTAGAGACACTGATCCTGCATATCTGTCATGTACTGAATTTACAGGTGTCATCAGGTGTTTGGCATGGAGTCCCATCCTAATTGCTTTTTTCTTAATGCTTGAATATGAATAAATTGTTTGAAAATGTCGTGTGAAGTTCACTTCAGATGCTTGCAGAGTCCTCAGTCTGTTTTTAAATTCTTCATGCAAGAGATTGGAATAGCCTTCATGAAATATAGATGACTATTTAAATAACTTTACATGCTTTATAAACTGAAATTGCTGTCAGTGTTTGAAACCAACAAGTTCTAAGGTAGGGAAGAGGAACAGAAAAAGAGAAGCTACTATAATACTGAAGATGAAGGCATAAAAGACCTCTGGATTATAATAAGAATTCAGCAGTATTTTAGGGTGACAGCTTATGACTGTTTTAGTTTCTGCAGAGTGTAGAAGAGTTAGGTGTTATTTAAATGACATGCTGATGTGAATACTGCACACTGAAATGTACTTTGAAAACCTGTACTTTTTACACAATTATTACCCAAGCTGTTGCACAACTTTTCTTTCTCAGAATACCATGTAATCTCTACTTTCAAGAGGAATCCTCTCGAACAGGCCTTCAGACGGCCCAATGTAAATCTAACTTCCAATCACCTTTTATACCATTACTGGATTGCTGTGAGCCATAAGGCCCCAGCATTCCTTTATGATACCTACCTCAGGATTACTGGAAGAAGCCCCAGGTAATGGTGACTAGCTCTGTCTTGTCTGTTCCTTTGACTTTTGAACAAAGCTGTGCTTACACTGTGATGTATATATTGGGTTTTTAAGTTTTTACTTTTTTTTTTTCTTCCCTCGAATGCTAACGCAAAGTTTTTTCCTGAGAACAGGTCCTCGAATTTCAAGTGACTTTGAACTTTCTAGCAAAAAAGAGAATGTATTTTGTTGGATAGTTTGAGGGTTTGAGTAGTCAAGGTAAACAGAATTAAAAGATATATAGCAAATTATGTTTGTTCTTGATTAATAAATACTAAAAACACAATTCTTATTTTTTCCTACAGCATACCACCTTAATTTGAATTTCAACAAAAATCCATTAGACAGAGCAGTAAGGCAACCTCACTTCAGGTTCCGATCCAACCCCTTTATGTATTGGTGTGATCTGGCAGTTAGCCATAAAATGGCATTATTTTTCCGTGATGTTTTGCTCAGGTTGAGTGGTGAGAAACCATGGTAAGAAGTACAGGGCTGAACATATCCATTAGACAGTAAGGCAACCTCACTTCAGGTTCCGATCCAACCCCTTTATGTATTGGTGTGATCTGGCAGTTAGCCATAAAATGGCATTATTTTTCCATGATGTTTTGCTCAGGTTGAGTGGTGAGAAACCATGGTAAGAAGTACAGGGCTGAACATACCTTGCCTGAAAGGTGGTGGAGACTTGTAAAGAAGAAACTGCATTGGCACTATCTAGATTTACTAACTCAGGTTCCGATCCAACCCCTTTATGTATTGGTGTGATCTGGCAGTTAGCCATAAAATGGCATTATTTTTCCATGATGTTTTGCTCAGGTTGAGTGGTGAGAAACCATGGTAAGAAGTACAGGGCTGAACATACCTTGCCTGAAAGGTGGTGGAGACTTGTAAAGAAGAAACTGCATTGGCACTATCTAGATTTACTAACTCTAAATGACAGCAATCTAGTGCCTGCATTTGGAAGAGATTAATGACTGGCTCAACAACCCTGTCCAAGATACCTTTAGATCAGAATCCCAGTCAGTCATTAAACTCCAGGAAGTAGCTTGCATTAAGATTGTTGCTGTTATAAACTGAAAATGGGAGACAGAGTTGTTAATTGCAGGTTATTTCTGTAGATGATACAACTTGATCTGATACCTTGGTTTGTATCATCTCAACATTCCATTCAGTTTATACTATTTACAGTACCATTTGGCAAACTAAAGTGGTGAAAATGGCATAGCTCTGAGGAGGCTGAAGTAAATTACGTCAAAGTAATGTAAGATGCCACTTTAATTTGTTTCAGATTTGCCAAGCCATATGATCTTAACTCATTGCTTATGTTATGTTTTCAAAAGTATTTGTCTTCAGACTATAAAATCTCCACTGTGCTGACAGTGTGTTAACACAAGTGAGTATTAATTTGTTGTGCTGTAGACTAGGTCTGTCTTACAAGGAGGGTAAAAGCTCTGTAACACACTTGGCACTGGATCAGTGGAAGGAAGCTATGTAAGTGGTTTGTAGGAGAAAACTTTTAAATTGCCTTGGAGTCTGCTGTCCCAAGACTACTCAACAGTGTAATCCTTTGCTGCAACAGTAGTGGCAGGAGGCTGTGCCTGTGTAGTATTCTTCCCACGTTAAGAAGTTGTAAGCTCTTCTGCTCAAAGGTGTTGAATATAAAAGCTGCTAGCTTCTAGGTTCTCTTGCAGTTTTTAAATTATGTTTGATAGAAATTGATAGAAATTTCCTGACAGATGTGAAGACTCTCTCGCTTGCTAAAATAGTTATACTATAAATACCAACCTACTGTCTTTCAAACAGTTGGGAAGGAGTGCTGCCAGAATCCCATCAGGCTGTGAAAGGCATCTAGTCTTCTAGGTATTTGACCAGTGGGAGTAAAATAAAGCTGTGAATAAACATGTTGTTTGGAACACTCTTAGCAGTGTTATAACACTGGGAAGGTTGAATCTTGTTATTGATTTTCCTGGACTTCTTGATGTCCAAAGATAGAATTTAGAACTTTCATCACTACTAGTACAGTTGATGATATGGATACTTCACAGAATAGAAAATATCTCTTTACTTACATGAATGCACAAAATTTCTAGTTTGGGGAAAAGATGGGAGATTGAACTATAACAAGCTATTGTTCAGCCCCAGCTTGTAAGTTTGATACCCAGCCCACTTACAGGAATGCAGCTTTTGTTATATATAGTGCTCTTCTCTCTTTCTTAAAGCTTTTAAAAATGGGAGTCTGCAATAGGAGCAGTAGAAGCAAATAATTATTATAGAGGCAGCAAGACATGCAGTGTTAAATCCTAGTGGAACTCATGTGTTGATTAATAATAGAAGAAATTTGAGACAGATCTTTCCTCTTGTCCTTTTTTCCAGTCTTCTGGCTCAAAGTAGTTTGAAAGCTGCTTTAACTGATGGGCTGGAGCTTTTTACTGCTGTTGCTGTGGTGATTCTGTCAGTTGGCAGAATGGTTTCAATTACCAGGTAGCATGTGCTTAGGAACTTCTGAAGGCTTGGAAACGTTATTGTAGATTCTTAAACTCAGTCTAATGCTGTTCTGAGTGAAGAAGGGCTGGCTTCGGTTCAAATGTGACCCTTTCTGCCATGATTTAGCAGAAAAACATGAGCAGCACAGTAAAATGTAGTAAAGTCAGCACAAGAAAATTCAGATAGTCTGCTAACATGACTTCACATGGTCATTAACCTGCTCTGAGTTCACTGAGCTCTCTGTTGTGTACAGTGCAAGAAAAATAAGTGATGGAATTCCTGCCTGCTCTGGGTGCACTGAGCTCTCTGTTGTGTACAATGCAAGAAAAATAAGTGATGGAATTCCTGTGTAGGTTTACCTGCAGAGCAGTCATACCACCAGGATATTGCACTGCAGTTGAAATAAAGTTTCTAGCAAGGGGAAGAAATAGATCAGGCCTATGAGCCTTCAGAACTGAAGGATTATGTCAGTGCTTTCAAAAAGATCTTCACATTCAGAGTTTTCAGAATTCTTCTGTTTCGTAATCTTTCTGCAGTACGAATTGTTCTTTTGCCCCTCAGTTGTGGAAGCAATTTTTGTGATGAGATGGAAATCTTTTTGCTGGTTTTGCATCTAGTTGGAGCTTCTTGAATGTAATGATGGTCTGATAATAATAGGTAAGGAAAGGGAAAGAAGAAATAACACACATATAATATTTCTTCCAAATTTCTATAGAATATGTGCAACAAGGATTGGCATGATGAAGATTCCATATTTTATGCTAAGTACTTAAGACTGTTAGAGAATTGTCATTAAATAGTGGTGATAATCCTCAGCATCCAGCTTGAAAGAAGTGTTGTTGGTAGCTCACCATATATACTTAGTTGCATAGCAGAGCTTATTAGTTGTCTAATTATCTTTAATAGAAGGCATAGTTCATTCATGTAACTTTATATAGTGCTCAGTGCAACAGAACCATGTTACATTTAAAAGCAAATCGGTGTATTAGAAATATGAAAACCTTTAAAAACACACACCCAGCAGATCTTTCCCGTTGCTCTGAAAGAGCAGGAGGTGGCCTGAAATGCTGAAAGCTGTAATTGAGGGATTTCTCCAGCAATCCTCTCTCTGTTACTGCTTCTTAGAAAGCTGAAGGGAAGGTGTGGTCGAGGTATGTGGGGAGGTGTAAGCAGCATAATTTCACATCTATCATTTCCATTTAAAGCTTCTTAAAACTTGAAGCACCTTTCACATAGTTTCTGTCTTAGAAACCAGAAATGAGTAAAGAGCATCCTCTTGTTCAACGTATCTGTATGTTTTTTGCTCTTTGAATACTTAAGTTGTGTGCTTAAAGGAACCACAGAGTATTTGATAGTTTGTCTCACTTCAGAATTTATAGCCAGATGAAAATCTGAGCAAAGACAAGTCTAAAAGCTTGTTCTGTGCTTTTTAGAGGAGTTAAAAAAAAAAAGTATTTAACTGTCTGTAATGCTTCTGCAGAGACTTTAAAAAAAAATATTACTGTCTGTAATGCTTCTGCAGAGACTTGCAGCCTGTAGATCCACTGCAGGATCAGTCTGTGTTTAGCATCAGAACTGTTTTTAGCCTGGAGACAATAGCTTGCATCTAAGACTTCTTCAAAATGCAGGTGTAGCCTTAAGCCAGGTCACTTTCAGTTGTCTGGTGTGGAAACAAGCTCACCTAATTTATGGACCATTGAAAAAACTTTCTTAAAATTTTAGTTCCTGTGATGTGCTTCTCCAACTGTTGTAATGCACTTTGTGTTGATGGCAGTGAGGGCTGCCTTGAGGCAAAATTCTACCTATTGTGAGGGTGAATGGCTACCATGCTCTCAGCCTGACTAGCTGCCTGACACTGATGTTCAGCTCTTTGAGATGGTCAGTAGGTCTTTTTTCCTGTGTGTGATGCAGTGCTTGATATTATACTGACTGGTTGTATATGGTGTTGATATTTATGACATATATCCAATGGCTGTCTTTGAAATAACCTGTGAAGTGTCCATCACAGATCTTCAAGCTGTGGAATATAGTTCCTTTACATGTATCCATGCTCAATTTTTGAGTCATGTGTGCATTCCCAGGGTGCCATTGAAGTGATAGAACTTAGTCTCCAGAGCTGCACAAGTGTCAGCTCAATGACAGTCACTGCTGAGATCTCTGAGTGAGAGGCTGTCACCATGCTGCTTTTTCTTCCCCTTAAAAAGAAAAGTGTTGTTTCATGCTGATTTAGTGCAAACAAGCAAGCTGTCACCAAGAAAGTTAGTTCTCTCCTGCCAACTCTGTAATTGATCTAGTAGCTGAGAAAATGTGGAGACATTTGATTCTTTTGGCTGATAAAACAAGAAACTAAACCTACAAAGAAAATGAACTTTTGCCTGATGAGTTGAATCAGCTGGTTCCATGGCCAGTCACTAAACCCAGTCTGAGTCTTAGGGAGGGAAAAAATTCTGCAGTGGAGGTAAAGAACTCTGTTTAACCACTCATTTTCTTTGGAGTTGTTTCTGTAATCAGCTTAGTTAAGCTATGAAATCATATTTATGAGCATCAGAGGTTTGTTGGTCTTTGCATTAGTTTAAATTTTTAAATTTGGGGTTTGTTTATAGAAAAAGCCAAAAACCAATGGCAGTGCCCAGTACCAGACTCAAAGCATCCATTTACCTAATCAGATATTACTTTGCACTTTTAGCATTTTGCAGGGCCACAAGTTTTGTTAAGCTGTACCAGTTGAAGCACTCTAAAATTCACCTGCTCTTCCAGCTTAGCATAAGAACACAAATTGGGGAAGTATAAAAGGGCAAATCAAGTTAAATAATCTTAAGACTGTCAGGGGACGGACCCTGAAAAAACTCTAAACACTTAGCCACCGTGTCCTGTTGGGCACTATTTATTTCCAGGCCTTTTTGCTATGAGGTCTTTCTGGTTTATTTGGCTAGTGAGATTTTTGCTTTCCAAGTTTCAAATTCTTTTCCTAGTTTTTGACTTAACTAACATACTCTTTTTTTTTTAATGTTCAGTTTAGTCCTGATAGCGCAGTATATGTTTGGGATGCAGAGTCAGTTTTCCTGGTTATTTTAGCATCAAAGGAACTCTGGTTCAGCTCAGCCCTCACTGTTTCCACCTTGCCCAACTGGTGAAACTATAAGCAGTTGTTTGAAAGCATCTAGAGATGCTTAGTAATCAAATCAGCTGATGGTTTAATGGTTGAATACAATTCTGCATTACACTGCAGATGGATTCCTGTGGAGTTTAAGGAAAAGTGTTTGTGCTTTAGAGATACTCCAGTTTTTCAGTGGTCACTGCCATTTGTATTCCTCTGTTTTGTGAGAGGGAAAAAGCAAAATGTTCATGTTCCCTGAGATACTGAGGTGTCAGCCACTAGTGACAGTAGGGGACACTAATGCAATGCAGAACACTTTGGAAGTTTCTGGGACAGTGTATTATCCTTTCTACCAGTATGAATGCATCAAGGCAGCTTTCAGAGAAAAAAATCACTTGGTCTTTATTGCTCCTGTGAACGTTATTGAGCATAATTTACCTTCAGAAAGTCGTTTTCTGATCGTGCTGGGTTCTGTTTCCTTTGCCTCCCCTTGATCACTCTGTGCTTCAACTGATCAGTGTGTCCTGCTATAAGGATCAAATTGGAAGCAGCTCTGTGAGATGGAAACACCTAGAGCACCCAGAGCAGGAATTTAATAGCATTAGGTTATGTGGTGCTAGTTAGTACTTATTAAAATCTAGTGGACATCTCCTAGCACTGTAAGACCTGAAACAATTTTCTTAGCATAAATGTGGAAGCTTTGCATGTAAGAGACTGGATGACTCACATTTTTTTATGGATCCACTACAGGTAGTCTCATCAGAGAGCAGCTTGCCCAAATTGATCCTTATAACATGATTTCTCTGTACTCTCAAGTGATGTTTTTGTGGAGTTGCTTCCTCTGCATAATAAGGGATGATGGAAGGTATTTCTGCATATTTTGAAGTAGCATAGAACAGTCACCTAACAAACAGGATCTGCTGTGATCTGTCCCGTGCCCTTATATATTTTCCTGCCCTTTGCTGCTGAGAACTTTAAGCCTTGATCTCATAGTAACCACAATAAACCAGTTTTTTTCTGTTACAGAGATCTGGTCTTGCACATTGTGCAGGAAGATCAGGGAAACTTACTCCTGTGCTTAAAGCTGTCCTGTGCATATGTTCTGCACTGTGCAGTTTGACTGATCATGTCAGCTAGATACTCCAGTGTGTTGAAGGGAAAAGTGTTCCATCTCTGTCTATCAGTTGCCAACAGAAGACAACATATCTTTTCCCCCTAATAGAAGAGATGGTAACTTACTATTACACTGGGAAGTAGGATTGGGGAAAAAAGGACTGTCTGATAACTTCCAAGTCTCTATAAAGATTAAACAGTCAAAGTCCACTTCAATAATATGCAGAAATACCCTGTTGAGCTAATAGAAAGGGAGTTGGGTAGAGATCAAGATGGGATGTGTTAATATGGGGTATGGGGGTGGAGGATAAAAATTGTACAATCTTACTGTCAGTTTTACTTGGCTGAACTAATCTTTACCCCTGTAACCTGTCCATTCCTTGCCTTGGACTGTAGGATGATGAAAACAATAACCCGTCTTCATAAGGCCATGATGTTATTAGAATACTTTACAAGCAAATCTTGGACCTGGAGTAATGAGAACATGACCATGCTAATGAACCAGCTAAACCCTGAAGACAAAAAGGCAAGTAGCTGTGTGATGTGGGCATGGAGGCTGAGGGTGAAATATAAGCTTGTTAATTCAAGATTGAGTGAGGACATGAGCTAGTTGATGCCACTCACCGTAACGTGGAGCTGACCTAGTGTGAACTCAGCACTGGAGATTCCTGTTAGATCCTTTCAGTTGTGCCAGGCTAGATCAGTGACATGGTCAGAGGTGAGGAAGGGTGGGATCCCCATGAAGGAGCCTGATACAAAAGTGGATTGTTTCTGGAGTGGCCTGATCACCTGATATGGTGTTGCTCATATATCAGCCAAGTGGCCAAGCTGTTAAGAGTCTCACCTGCCTCACAGATTAAACAAGGTTTTGCTTCTTAACCACTATCTTTTCTTAGGAGCAGGAGCTATGTCTTGAGGGACTTCTTGGCTTGTTTTTAAACTAGTAACAAGTTTTATATACCCTTTTCATGCTTTGGCCACAGAGCTACATGTATTCAAAGCAATTTAAGTGTAAATTCTCACTTCTCTTTGAAGCACACTTGTATACTGTGTGACTGAAACTGCCCCATGCAGGGGGATGTATTGGGGTTTGCTGAGCAGCTAACAGTGAAAGCTTTTATTTTATGCAGACATTTAATATCGATGTTCGACAACTACACTGGGCAGAATACATGGAAGATTACTGCATGGGAATGAAGAAATATGTGCTGAATGAAGAAATGTCTGGGATCCCTGCAGCTAGGAAACACTTGAACAAGTAAGTATAATTTTTTGTTTTCCTCTCTGTTTCTGTGTCTTTCTGCCCTTACTAAGTTTTGCTTTTCCACATTACAACTTCATTGTTCTTTGTGCCATCTGTTTAGGTCCTCCACCATTCTTCTGTCCCACTCCAGTGATCTGAAGCATTTTCTAAAGAAGTCATATATCATGTTCTCTTTTCCTCCTTGCTCCTATTATTGATAGTTAGATTATGAGTCTGGTTGTAGCTCTGATCACTAGTGTGTATACTGTAATCCAGGTGTCTGATTTTACCCAAGTGTCTTTTGGAAGGTAAAAAAGGTACAAAGTTGCACAAGGTCAGAATGGCTTGTTCAGGAGGTTTAATAGACAATGGTTGTTTCTTCTGGCAATGTGATCTTGTAAAGGAGGAGAGTAAACAGGCAGGGACTCTGCACTTCAGAGCAGGACACTTAGATGTTGGTGCTCTAAGGTGACTTCGCTCAGCCTTTTCTCAGTGGCTTCACTCCTCCAGTTTGAGTATGTTGTTACTGTCCAGAATTTTACTAGAATTTTGCTGGTTTTTTGTTCTTGGCTGATTCATAAAGAGAGATGTTGACTTTCTGATTTGTCTCTTTTAAGAGTGAAATAAAAGTAATGAATCTTGTTCTGCAATACAGTGTCACATCTGCTATCCTGAGAGCACAAAGAGATACAATCCAAGTCCTTGCTTGTCTTGTCATTCTAAAGACAAGGATTTGCAGTTGTACAAGGGTTTGGTATATGTCAAAATCACACTTCTGCAAGATGGCAATCTGTGGGAATGGTGGGAATAGCAGAAGAAGTGTCTCCTGATTATTTCTTCTTTTTTTGTGGTTTAGTTGCTGTTTAAGAAGTGCATAGGAGTCATCATACAGTTGCCATTCTTTGTACAAAGGATCATACCAAAAATAACACAAGAAATAATCTCATACTGTAGCAGCATCTGGTTGCCCAGCTCTCAGTTTATAAACTGATTGTTTTGCAAGAGGTTTATGTTTATTCTGAGGTATTAGTTTGGTCTCCTTCATTACCATCTAGCTCTTAACTGTAAACTGAACTTGAGGAGTTCACTGCTTTAGTATTCACCAGATTTGGCAGCCTGGGAGCTTCTCTAGGGAGCTGCTGAGTAGATTTGTTCCTCAAATGGAATAGTAGTCTTTACTTTTGTAACACAGAAATGTAAACTCTTTTTTTCTATAAATAAGGTGTGTAAAGGAAGGTCTGACTATAGTAACACAGCCTGCCTGTAAAGCAAGGTAAGGGCACTGAATATTTCCTTAAAAAGAGCTGCCTTTAAAACACAAATTGTCATGATGTACTGAAACAAAGAGATTGCTCTAAGAAATCTGTGCAAATTCTCTTTGCTATTTGTCTTGAAGCTTCCATATTTACATGGGAGAAGATTGCTAAAAGTCACAGTTGCCCTAAAATGTCACTTAGTTTCTCCTAATCTTTCAATATAGTTCCTTGAGAAGGAAGGAGTTTAAAATTGCAGTGAAGACACCAGGCTCTGTGGCTGGAAAATCCACTGGGTTCTGCTTGATAGGGTGGATTGGTTGGGTTTTGTGGTGTTGTAGTTGTAGTCAGTGGCAGTTGGAGTTACTTTCAGAGAGATGTGAAGTTTCAGATGTGGAGAAGGAGGGGAATTCATCGTGGTATTTCCTAGGTTTTTGGGGTGGTTGGCAGCCTTCTACAGCTGAGTTACCATGTCTCTAAGGGCTAACTCTGCTCCTTAGTTTTCATTCTGCTTTTCAGCAGTGAAAAGCCTTCTCTGTTTGGTCCTTCACTTACCCACTTTCATCATAACACTCATATCTTGAGTTGAATAGATAAACACATTAATTTCTCCAGAGGTTAATTTTTAGCATGTTCTTCCCTTCCTCTGGCACCTTGGCTCTTAACTACTTGTTTTGCTCTCCCCTAGGTTAAGGAACATACGCTACGGCTTCAACACAATTCTCGTGATCCTGATCTGGCGTATCTTTATTGCAAGGTCACAAATGGCAAGAAACATCTGGTACTTTGTGGTTAGTCTGTGTTACAAGTTCCTCTCCTACTTCAGAGCCTCCAGTACTATGAGATACTGAAACAGAGAATTTAGCATTAGGACATCTATGCATATGGTGGTCTAACTGCACAAACCCTGTAACATGTAGTCATCTCACGTTTTGTAAAGCATAATTTCATCTTTAATTGAAGTGTGGAATATACAGTATGGTACATGTAATGTTAGTTGTGTATCTTCCTGGAAACGGAGAAAATAAAATGGTCAAGTGCCAGGTTGAATTGGCATTAGACAAACATTTAAATAACTTTAACTCTTTGACCTGGGGAAAACCTATTAGACCACTGACCAACATAACTGTGCAATTTGGAACGTGTTTGATTGAAATCTGCCTTAACATGATTTTTTTTTTTTTCAAGTTTTACTCCACATTGAGCAGGATAAATACTGACTTTGTAGTTACTAGTTGCTGTAGACCTATTTATTTGAAATTCTTCTAAATTACAAAGGGTTTTTCAAGTTGCAAAAGTGTATAAATGATGGTGGATCTCCTGGAAAAAAAACTGATATGAGGACTTCTGTAATTTGTATTTACTTTTTTGCCACTTCTTCCATTCTTCTCAAAGTAGGGGTGCAACAATGGTTCCTACTTTGCTTGAAAAGAAAAAAGAAATTTAATGATCAACCAACCTTCCTTAATTACTGAAAGGCCTTTTGTCCCATCTGGTCTTGAGAATGCACTTGGTGATTCAGTTCTGTGCCCAAAAACTGGCTGCATCCAACTTGCATTTATGTCAGCATGACCAATTTGCTTCTCTGAAAGCAGAATTGATCCTGTCACTGAGCAGATAAAAGGAAATGTATCCCTGAGGGGGGCAAAAATAGTCATTGACTGTCCTCTTTTTTTAATGATTTTTTTTTTTTATTGGGAACACAGAGCCAGCACTTGATTGTTACACTTCTGACTTCAAAGGGTAAATGTATTTGAAAGGAATTTATTATGCTTAGTAGCTATTTATATTACTGGTAAAACTAGTTGAATGAACTATAGGCTTTCATTAAGAAATATACCTGGTTTTAAGTTGTAAGCAGCGTTAGCAAAGACTTCATTAATTAACTATTTTTTTAACATCTGAGCTATGAAGTTTGATGCATGGACAACACCAATGCATAAGCACACTTTCTCATCCCTGCCCTAATCAAACCTCATTTCACTGGGCAAGCCAAGATGATGCCCCTTGCTTCAAAATGAATAGATGCTAACAATTCCTCCATCTGTCTTTTGACTTCTTAGGTTCAAATCTGAAGAAATCTGGGGGTTTTCTGCATGTTACTTTGTTTTGGCAGGACAAACATTTGTGCAAATGGCAAGTAGTAAGACAAGATTGAATCCTTGTTTCTTTAATCCAAGGCAATACACAAAGATCCCTTTAAACTTTGGTTGCACAGAATGTGGTTGGAGAACACTGTGGTGTTCCTCTGATGGATACACTGACCAGCAGCCTTGCCCAGTGTTCATTCCCATCAGTTCCCACTGATGAATTTGTTCTGGGATCTGCTTGGAAAGGCAGATAATGATCTAATAACACAAGAACCTCATTATACTTGCCCTTGGAAATTTTTTTTTTTGTTCTCTTTCAATTAAGTATGTAAAGAACTTATTTTGCTATTCTTCTGAAAAGTCCTACTTTAAAGAGAACGCCTTTGGTGCAGGTGTGTATCTCATCTGGAAAAGATAATGGCTTCCTTGTTGAAGCTAGAGACTCTGTAGTGAGTAGTTAAGCTGTAATTCCTTTTTAAAATGACCCATGTATATATAAAGCTAGTGATGAGAAGCCTAAATGGTCTAGGACCACACCTCATGTGAGAGACCTCTGTGGCTGAAAATAAATTATGGCTTCTGTGCTTGAAGATGTTACACTTTTAACAGATACATTAGCTGTATTACATTTTTAGTTGCCTCCCCAAGTATCTTACTAGACCTGAAAGTATGCTTAAGCATTCCTGAATTGTAGACTTCTTTCAGAGGTGCCTACTGTCCAATGACACCCCTTGGCCCACGTTGGCATGTGGCTGAAGTTTGCAAAAGACAAATGTGTCTGATTATGAAAATGATTATGTGAAGCAATTCACTTACGAATTTTCATTGTTTATAACTATTAGACATGAGACTTTTGATGTTGATTTGTTAATACTGAGAACTATGAAGCCAATGAACTGATTATTTCAGGTCCAAAACACTGCTTAGAAATCTAGTCTTTCAAATAAGTAATGGAGAGAAGGATTACTTTAAACATAAGGATATTTAACCTCTACTCCTTAAACATTTGCCAATTTAGAAACCCATTTTCCCCCCTCTTTGGAGGCCATTGTTCTGTGCCCTGTTGGTATCTGACACAAATTCATCAGTCATCCTATTTGACAGTAGATTCAGTGTCACATTTATTACTCTGGTTTTGTCACTTCCTGTGGTCAATCTGTGAAACCCTGAAACTATTAGGGGTTTTTTTCCATATCAGAGCCATGTCCTCTTGCAGTTCTTCACACCAGTGTTTGCACATAATGGATGTTGGTCAGAAATACACTGGAGCTCTCTTTTGGTCCATGAAGACTCACTGTATTGACTAGCACGTTACAGGAGTGATACCAGTGGGTTCATAGGATGAAGAGCAGTCTGAAACAACATTGTCACTTAGCAGTTACTGGTATTTAAATTTGGGACCAGGAAAAAACCTACATTTTCCTGTAATGTTTTTCTCTGCTGTAGGAACAGATGTTTGGAAACAAATGCTGAATCTGTGAGCTTTTATAAGACATAAACAGAAATATTGGGTGCCTTTGTTTGTAAACCAAAAATAAACAAATCCCTTGAAAGTGTTGTTATAGTGTTTATTGTATCTTTTCTTGGTGTTTAGTCTAATTCCTGGATAAAAACTGGATAGTGTCTGTTTCCTTTGCTAGAAGCTTTGAACAATCAAGTTAATGACTAACATTGCATTTAAAAGAAAAAACCAGAAAAACCTTCTCAATCACAAAACAAAAACAAACCACACAAAAACCCCAACCCCAAGTCTAAACCTTCCTGGGTGAGATGTGCCTGGTCTTGGTGACTTTGTGTGTTAGCTACTTTTCTCCTCCTTGTCATTGCTTGTTCATTTGCAGTATTAGTTTCAAATTTGCTTGAATAGCATAAACCTTCTGCTTTGCCACATGGTTTAAAAGGGCACTGTGGTTTTGCAGTAGCTTTAGGTTTAATATTTCAAGGCATTGCAAGTGACTACAATTATTAATGGCATGTGCCTTTTGTGGTGAGGGAGGAGAAGGTTGCATTAATTTAGTGCATCACCAAAATGTCTTGGTCTTTCGGTTGTTAACCTTCGTTTCTTGGAATATTCAGATTTTGTGGATTTTATCAAGGACACAGCTCTAGAGATGATGCAGGATCTGTAAGCTATGGTTTGGGATCTATCAGCCTTTAGAGTATAGCCTTTCCTTTACTTGACTTTAGAACTACCAAATGCAGATGTTTTCTGTTGCTCTCAGTAATTCAGAATTGGAAGCAAGGAACAAAAAAGTTTGAAGATGTTGTCCCTTATGGCTTGTGCTGTTGAACATTTTCCCCTTTCTTCATGGTACAGTATTACATCCCACTTTGTTGAGAAACACACAGGTTTGTAAAGGTAACTCAGATCTGACCTCACCCTGCCCAGAGCTGGGAAGTTCAGCTTTTCATAATGCTTTTTTACATGTTTCCCAATCTGCTGAGCTGACTTTACAACAGAAATGAAGAAAAATCACCCAGGAATGGCTGCTCTGGAGAAATGTAAGTGAATTGTTCTAAGTGTGTTCTTGCTGTTGTCAGTCTCTTTGTGCTGAAGTGTGTGCAGTTTATTTTGTCTAGCCTGGAGACATTTTGAGTAATTATGTAGAAACTGTAGAATAGTTCCAGTGGAGCTGATACAAATTGTCTGCTCTTACTTTTAATATGTGCTGTACGATTATAAATTTAGAAGCAAAGGTTGACAGGTCTCACTTAGCACTTCAAGTTCTAGGTTTCCTTCCTCTCTTCTAGAGTATTCTGTGCTTCTTCAGATGTCTCTGTCCTCCTTTCTGCCTGCAGATGACTGTGAGTTAAAGGTTGTGTAACCAAGCTGTGAGCTGCTGCTCTGCCATCCTGAACTAAATTTAACCCTGCTTCCACTTCCAAGATATTTATAAGTGCTTTTCTCCTCACTGTTATCTTAGTACTTTTCTTCAGTGCAGAAGCTTTGGCTTTCCCTGCTCCACAACTAATGTGACTCACTGATAGATGATTAGTAATTATGCAACTGTCTTTTCTGGAATATGGAACAATGACAGCTTTGAGCAGCCTTCGTTCTTACTATGAGAAGCAGGAGAAACCATGATTAATTGGTGAAAACAAAATTTCCAACACATTAATGCACTGAATGATACTGGAATGTTTGGATCCATGGGCCCTGGGTAAAGTGAATGGGACTTTTTTTACTTTTACTTTTTTTTCAGTTATATCCGTTAACTGCAAGCATAGTGGTTGTTCCCAGAAGCTTTTAATTTCATTCTAATTGAATTAGAATTCTAATTAGACACCTTTCAGGGTGGTAATTCTGTAGCTATCTGAAGGATATCATACCTGACATACAGAAGCAAGGTCTCTTTTGCTTCTGTATGAGCACAGGAAAAACACTAAACTTGCCAGAGATTCTTTACAATGAAAAAAAATTAAAACCATCATCACTTTAGATAAAAGTTTCTGGTATGCAGGTGAACATTAAATCTAATATTGCCCTTGCCTCATGTGGTAGGAGTTTCTGCTACATCCTCTGTGTGTGCCCTGTCTCTACTGTAGAAACAGCAATCCAGTTGAAAGGAGTTGTGATATTCTTGTTTGTGGTACTCTTAAATGAAAATGACTCAGTACTTAGCCACTGTTAACTCTCACAGATCACGTAAGCCTTAATCAAGATTCAGGGTGGCATAATACAGTTGAATATTTTTATCTTTATGAGACTCGATAGCTCATATTTTCCTTCATTCCTGGTGAAATGATCCCAGAACTGGATGTCCAGGGACACAAATAGTTATGCTTGCTGTTTTAGGCACCTAACCTGGGTGGAATTCAAGAATCTCAAGCTAGGAGACTTGATTTCCTCTATCATACAGCTTCCTCAGTATGATTCAGAATCATAAGACAAATGCTTAAAATAAGTAGTCACGTTGTGGGGTGGGAGAGAGGGAGACCTGTAGAAACAAAGGGAAATAGTTAAATTAAGGGAGAAGCAGGTTGAATATGGTTAATATTCTCCTCTTGGTGTGTATGTGGAATTGAGAATATATTGTCACATGGCTCGTGATTTGCATTAGCTGTAAAGCT